TGCGCGTCCAGCCCCCGGTCCTGGGTCCCGACAGCGACGCCGAAACCGAGTGAGCAGCGCCCGGCACCTCCCGATGGCCATTGCTGAGCACCCTCCTGCTCTGCCACAATTAGGAAGGAACCAAAAGGACCTGCTGTGCACCCCTCCTCGACTCAAAGCGTCACTGTGAAGATGCTCTAATAAACCCTAATACATGTCACAGAGTTGGTGTCCGGCTCTGGCTGTACACACAGACCCCGTATAAATGGGTATTGCTGTATAACCATCACCACCAGTGCTCTCTGGGGGGGTTTTGCTGCTGTTAGGATGACCTGGCAATGCGTGGCCGTGGGTCGGTGGCTGCTGAGACACGGCACAGCGTGTGCTGCCGCTCTGGACTCCACACTTTCACCCCTAAACAACGGACAGTGTGAAGGGAACCCATCCCTGCGCTCCCAGAGCCACGGGCGCTCAGTCTCTGATGGGTGACACCAGCCCCACAGCGGGCACGGCTGTTAATGCGTGTGATAAACACAGCAGCCATCGAGCTGCAGGTGCAGGGAGGAAGCACCAGGCCGCTTCTCAGCGCCACTCTTGGCAATAAATAAATAAATAAAGACAACCCACCTTACCTTACCTTACCTTAGCCGGGCACTTCTGCGCGACCCGAAGAGGAAACGTGGTTGAACGCGCGGTTAAATCACGCGAGCGGGAACGTGGTGTCCTGGGCACGGCGCCGTTACTGCTGCGTGGCTGCTCCAGCACCCACAGGGCTGAGGAGATAAGAACGCGTGGCATATCCGGGGCCTTCACTTTATAGGACTCGATTGGTGCATTTTTAAGATTTTATGAGTAGCTCTAAAAGTAATGGCGACTTACAATAAAGTTTTGGTTTTCTATTACTTGCGATATCTGAAATTTCATAGACATTTTCCAGCTTCACTTGGTGATGGTAAGAACAAGAAGCTTAACTGCTTTTTACAAACTAAATTCAGATTCTTAAATAACAAAACAGCTTTGGGAATCCCATTCTCAGCCCATTTGGGTTTTCTGATGCTGGTAAAGGGGATGAGGCCCAGGGGTCTGGTGCGTACCCATGAGGGCTCCTTCACATCCCCTGGGTTTCAGCTCAGCGCCTGGGGTCCCACCACGTCTTGCTCAACGTGTGGTACACACACAGCCAGCGCTGCACAGCCCTCCAAAGGCTTCTGCAGTGGGGAAAAACCACTGCTCCCTTCCAAAAACACAACAGAGATTTGCTTAAAGCACCAGGCAAGGCGAGAACAGAAACCTGGGCGTCCATCTCCACGCTCCCACCAACACACAGCGCTGGCAGCGTCACCACCCCTGGGTCTGGCAGGGCGGGAACCCAAACCAGTGCTCAAACGTAAAGACACGTGCAGGGACAGCAACGCTTTGCTGCAGGGCACAGCAATCGCCTCGAGCCATCGCAGCGGGCAAAGCACGGCCCCAGAAACCCTGATCCTGCAGTGGCACAAACCGAGGTTCACCCATCCTGCGCCGAGGGCGAATGGGAACAGCGCGTTCCCTGCAGGACCTGGACAGGTCACCATTCGTCACTGCTGCTTTACAGAGGGCGTCTGACAGCTCATAAAGTGGAAAGTGTCTCAGGTGCTTGACTTTGGCGTGGCTCTCTCCAAACGCACCCACCGCAGATAAGGGATGTGCACAGCTGGGATTTTTCTTGCTGCAGCAGCAGTGCAGCCGCTGGAAGATGCAGCTGAGCTCTGCACGGGACTGGGCATGGAGCTGGGATGGAGGTGGGCATGGAGTTTGGATAGAGCTGGGATGGAGGTGGGGATGGAGTTTGGATGGAGCTGGGATGGAGGTGGGGATGGAGGTGGGGATGGAGCTGGGATGGAGGTGGGGATGGAGGTGGGGATGGAGCTGGGATGGAGGTGGGGATGGAGTTTGGATGGAGCTGGGCATGGAGTTGGCACAGAGCACTCCAGGGGAAGGGCTTCATGAATCGCAGCCAAACGAGACACCTGAGAAGTCCCAACCCCAAATTTCCCATTCATCTGGGCACTTTTTAATAGACTTTTCACACTCTGAAACAAAAAGAGTAAACACCTAACTGAATACCTCACTGAGAAACAAAAAAACCATTCCAGAAAACACATTTTAGTTCCCTGCTCTGAAATCTTTATAGGTACCAAAATCTGCAAAATTCAACCCCAGTTTATAAAGCACCTTTGCCCTCCTCACCTCTGCAGTTTTGGCAGTAAAACATCACCGAAGTCCAGCAGAGGACAGCAAAGGAATCCAATTTCACTCAGAAATATACTGCTGGTAAAATACAAGCCAGTATTGATATGTTACAAATGTGCTACAAGACAGAGGGGCAATGTTGGTGTGACAAAAGCAGAAGAGGCGCAGCTCTGGCAGCCCAGCACCATCACCCGGGGAGAACGCACCAGGGTAAGGAGGCCAAAAAGGAGGAGGAGAAATGACAGAGACAGCCAAAACCAAAGCAGAAAGGTTTGAGGCTGAATGCTGAGGAGAGCGGCCTGAACCAGACTACGGAAAGAAGAGGCGAAGGAATTGTTCCCCCAAGGCATCTGGTGGTGAAGGAGAGGAGAAAACTGCAGTAGACACAGATAAGGGAAGAAAGGTGGTTTTCCCCTGCAAAACAGAGGGGTTTGTGTGGGAGGTTTTATCCAGCACCACCTCACCCCGCTGCTATTCCAGTCTTGGGGTCTCTCAGTATCCTGTCTGGTTTTCTCCTAAGACACAAAGCTGTAGCAGTGCTGGAAGCACACTTAGGCTGGACGAGTCGTTTTACAAAGAGCCATACACAAAGCTTTAATAAACTCTACAAGAAAACAACACTTCCATGAGACACCCAACAAACTTCCAAGCTTTCAGCAGAACACGCCAATCGCACAAGGACCAACCCACAGAACTGGTTTCATTCTCAGGGCTGAGCTTGGTCATTGATGAGACTTTGGGAATAATGACAGACTTGAGCAACGACTGCCTCCAGGTAGGAGAGCTTCCAATCGGCCGATCTTTGCTGCTCCCACCTCATAATTTCAGATGCAGGATTGATTAAGTTTTCTGAAAAAGGCACTCATCTCACCGCCGCGGAGCACGAGCTCTCCTGCAACCCGCAGAACGTCTCCAGGCAGAAACCAGCGCTGCTCGGCCTGCTCAGGGTCATCCAGACGGGTTTTGGCAAACTGGGCTGCGGGACACCTTTCCTCATTTCTAAAGATGGAAAAACGGAACAAGCTTTTTCCTGGACAGAGACATTTATTAACAGTTAGTCAGAAACAAAGCCTCAGAGGCGTTTTCACTGTCCTTGCAGGGTTTACAGGGACACAAACCCAACGCAGGCAGTCCAGCTCCAGCAGCGGGGCTGGCCCCGCTAACACTCCAGGCCCCTCATCGCGGCGATGCTGCTGGCCATTCGGCGCGGCGCGCTCTTCGCGGTTTGCCGGAAGTCCTCTGGCTTCGCCTTCAACAGAGCCACAATGTTTTGCAGTGTTCGTGATGGCTGGAGGCCGAGGGCATCCATCACATTTATCAGATAATCTGCAAGACCAAGGAAGAACACGTATTTGAACGGGCACCAGGCACTGTGCCATCAAAGCGACTCCTTGCTCCTCCCGACAGCCCAAATTCTGTCAGTGCTAAAAAACCACAGCGAATGGCAGCGGTTGGGATCCGGCTATACAGGAGGTTCCACTTAAATTTGAGAAGAAACTTCTTCTCAGTGAGGGTGACAGAGCCCTGGCCCAGGCTGCCCAGAGAGGTTGTGGAGTCTCCTTCTCTGCAGACATTCAAAACCCGCCTGGACGCCTTCCTGTGTAACCTCATCTGGGTGTTCCTGCTCCGGCAGGGGATTGGACTGGATGAGCTTTGGAGGTCCCTTCCAATTCCTAACTTTCTGGGATTCTGTGTGATTCTGTGACTGCTGCGCATTTCTGGGTCCCTGTACCCCAAGATGTGATGGACACCTTGCAAAGGAGCAGCTGTGAACCACTGCACCACGCTGGGTACCAGATCAACACGCTCACCATCAAAGGAGACACCCAGGCTGCTCTTCCTTTCCATTTAACGTAGACAAGAGGAGCCCACGTTATGGCAGCAGCTCTGAGGACAACGTGTGCACCCAGCTTACCAATGTCAGTGGCCAGCTGCTTTGCCGAGTGCGCTGTGAGCTCTGGGATCTGCAGGATGACTTCGCAGTACGTCTGCATGGTGGCTCTGGCGATGGAGCCCAGCCAGTAATCAGCCATGTTGTCCAGCTCAGGCAATTCATCTCCTGCACGGAAAACCCTCGTTATCTGCAGTCTCGCTCACCTGCATTTGCTGGTTTTGTAACACAACGTAATTCATACGTGGATAACAGTTTCCTCAAGAGGACATGAAGGTATTCCTTAGGATTCAGAGTTCGTCAGCTGCTTTTGGAGTAATCAAAGCAGCTACACATCCTCCCTGCTGCTATCCAACACCGACAGCTCAAGACCCAAACCACTTCACTTCCCTCTGTTACTCTCCAGGTGAGTGACTCCCAAAAGGCTGACAGGGGATCAGGCTGGGATTAGGGGCACTGCCGGGCCTATTCTGCAGGATCATCTTCCAGGAGTCGTTTATGAACTACTGCAGCGACAAGGACTCATGGGTTTGTTCAAGTCCTAAAGGAATTCTGTGTTCATCAGTGTTTTGGAAGTTAAGGAACTATTAAACATATAAATAGGTGACAAAATAAGCAATGCTAAAAGCTAAACTGAAGAGCGTGCTCTCAGAAGCAACAGGAAGACTGTAAATACCAAGCTCCACGCTTCCGTGACTGTCAGTGGAAACAAGCACCGAGAAGAGATTAACCACAGCAAACCACAGTGTGCTGCCAGCCTGCTGGGAAGTGCTGTGCAGCGACCATCGTTAACCGCAGCAGATTAACGACACGACAGGTAAGGGCAGCCACCTGAGGACGAACGTGAGCCAAAACTCAGCTTGCAGCGGGAAATCAAGGCAAGACAAGCAGCACAAACTCCTCTGTGCTCAGGGGGAAAGTTGTGAGGAGGAAGCTGGGCCGTGGTGTCAGCCAGCAGCCACCCACAGCACCTCCCTCAGCACGGGGGTTCAACCACCGTGGCTGCTCTCTGATCACTGAAGACTCTGGCACTGGCAGCAGCAGTGGAGCTGTAATGATTTCTCAGCTGGAGTTAATTCAGGAGGAAAAGGGAATTTGGATGAGGTGGTCAGCACTCCAGCACACCCTACCTTGCTCTGGGGGGTAAGGCAGTTTCCCAGCGTGTAACGCCACTTCCAGAGCAGAATCCTCCTGAGTGACAAACGGCTCGAGGTGCAGAGGAAGCGACATAATGTACTGCCCAATCTAGAATAAAAGCACAAAGGGCTGAGTCACTGAACAAACGTGAAGCGAGTGCTTTGCAAGTGAAAAGAGCCAGCTGCAGTAATCCACACCTGAAAGCGGAAAGCTGAGCTTGACAGCAAGTCACTAATCTATGTTTGCTCAGAAACAAATTGGCTCTTGCTCATCATTACACTTTGTACAAGAAATAATTTTTCACGAGGTCAGAGAACCCGAAGCAATCATGTTCAAACCTGCACGGAGAACGGCTATTCCAGGCAAATCTTCCATCTCTGGAGTGGTAACTTGTTTTCTAGAGCAGACTCTAAGAGACTGAACCAAACCAAACCACAGAAGAGGAAACACCGAGTCAAGTGGCAATACAGTCATGAATTACAGAAATGTATCCCTCCCAAACAGGGACCATGCTCACAAATTCACACACCTAAGCTACATCACTTCAGCCATACAACAAGCACTGTCCTGTTTATAAAGCAACTGCCAGCAGCCAGAACAGGAGAGCAACCTGAGCCCCGTGCAGCAGCACGGAGCTGAGGAGTGCGGAGTCAGGAGGCATGAACAGCTCACCCTCCTTTTCCAGGCAGACATCCCACTGCTGCGAAGGGTTATCATTCCACCAGAAAAAGAAACCAGGGAGAACAGGAAGAGCTCAAGACAGTTTTAACTTCATAGGATGATTAAATCACTCCAATACACACTGCAGGAACTTCTCTGCTACAGGAGCCTGCTACGAGGACAGGCTCAGCATCCACTGCTACAAACAGAAGCTGACATTTCCCATCCCATTACAGGAGTTAACACTGTCAACAGTGCAGCTCGCTAGGGAAGAGCCTCTCCTTTGCTACTCCAGAATTTGACAGGGATTTCATAAAAGCCACAAAGAACGGCACAACCCTACTGATGAGGGCTGGACCACTGAGAGCACCTATCACCATCACAGAACAATGTTAACAACTACTACGATTTTACAAAAACACTGGGGAAATACAGCACCAGGCTCCCAGCAGCTACCCTTGCACGCTCTTACATTGCTGATATACTCCAGCGGAGTCAGGCTGAAGTTTGGCAGGTCCTCTGTCAGGGTCTCCCCAATGCCACCGGAGTTCCAGCCCTGTGAGGCAAAACAGAATAAACCTATGATTTTCTGGAGCATGAAGTCTGTCGGTGTTCTAGGAAGGGGTCACCCAGCAACGTGAACTGAGACTACGCAGGGACTTCTAGAAAGCAGAACACAGATGGTGAGAAAACTGCTTCCCTCATCCTCCCTCGCGCCCAACACAGACACAGCTCCCTGTGGGAAATGCCTGCTCACACGGGTCAGGAAAGCAACATCTTGAACTAACAGCAGCGCCTGCAAACGTAGCTGCCTCTTGTGAGTGCTGTGGATGAAGGGAGGTAAACTCTCGCACTGACTGCAGCTCATGGAAGAAATGTGATACCAGAGGAAAACACTCAGAAAAGGAGAAAGTTAAGCAACACTGAGCTGTGCTCCACCCCAGGGGATCCCACAGGTAAACCTCGCCAGCTCAGATCAGATCCATGTATCCATTACTCACCTCCATCTTTGACACGAGCAAGAGTTGCTGTTTGATGCGAGTGAAAACAGAATCAAAAGCCAAGTGGTGCGCCAGCTGGTTGAGGCGGCTTAGGGCAGATCGCGATGAAGACAGCAGGTTGTGGTTACTTGTACCTTTTTCCTAACACACAGAGAGACAGAAAAATGTTTACATACAGGAGTCATTAAACTGACCGCAGAGAAGCTATGTTAACACTCTTAAAGATGTCTTTATTGGGCCATCCTAACACAAAGCAGCTTTCCTCTGCAATGGCACAGCTTGTTCCCTTTGAGATGCCCCATTCCAACCAGTCACTCAAGACAGAAACCGCACAGCATTGCTCCGTGAAATGCAGAAGAAAGAATCAGCATCACATTGCAGCCACGCCAGGCACAGTACAGGCCAGATACTGAGAAACCTGCAGAGAAGATGGCAAAAATGCCTTTTACTCAAGGAGTACAACGAACTGGTTCCCTGCATGGGATCAAGCAGAAGTTCCACATGAAGGGTACCTATGGAACTTGACTTGCAGTCAAACATGTCACACTGAAGGCACAGCTGCGCAAGGGGCAGGTAAATTAAGTGCAAGAGAAATAAAGCATTTTGAGGAGATAAGAGACAGAACTCATAACCTTAACTTCACTACTACATGTGACCAACAGTGGCAAACATAACTTAGATCCCCAAGGAGATAACGGGAGTCATTCTCCCCTGCTCACAGATGCATGCATGAGCGATCTCGCAGAATGACATTTCAGAATGGGTACGGCAGCAGAGCCTGAGTGGCAAAAAAAGTCTGGAGAAGCCAGTGTGCGGGCTCCAGAATTTGAGATGGCTTCACCACAGCCTTCCCAGTGCTTTCTGCATCAAAATCTCCCTCAGCTGAACTGCTAAGGGCATGTTCACAAAACACAGCCAGGATCCGGGGAGAGATGGGATGAGCCCAGACTCCCTGGGTTTGGACATTTCATCTCTCTGCGGATCAGTCGGTGTCTCTGTGAAGACAAGAACACAGCCCATCAGAGGCTGCTGCTCAGGGGGAAAAGTGACCAGGCTGCAGGGGAACCCAGGTCTCATCCACCAAACAGCATCCTGTGAGAGGCAGGCTCTCCCAGGAACCAAAGCTACCTTTAGAGTGTAAAGCGTCTCCATAAGGCTGGCGTACTCGGATGGGTTCTCCTTCAAAAGATAATTGTACTCCTGCCAGGGATTCTTCACAGAGCTCTTCTTTTCTGCAGAGCTGGTGTCCTGAAAGCCAGAAAAACTGCAAGGGCTGTAGGTGTCCGAGAGATACTTCCCAGCAGTTGATAAAATCCTGAAAACAAGCACACAAGAGTCAACAGCAAAATCCTCCACAGTCAGCACTGCTGTTCTCATGTTGGTACCGAGACCAACACAACCTTTATGTGACTTCAAGGGAGAGCAGTCATTGGTGGCAGACACTAATTGCAGCCAACTCTCACACCTACTGTGCAACTAAAAAACTGCAAAAATACTGAGATGAAAGAGGGAGGACAGTGCTCCCAGAACGTCTGGCAAATAGGGAAGAAGTGCAGCCTCCTGTGCACTGCAGGTCACTGCGTCCTACACCAAGCACAGGCACTCAAGTCAGGCTGAAGCACTGCAGCCTACAAGAGGCTGCACTGCTCACAAGCAAACAAAAATCCAAAAGATATCAAAAAATAAGGATTCCTGTGACTGTCTCAGGGCACACAACTGTGTGGGACAGTCTGTGACCATCTCTGATATTCCTAAAGATGGAAAGGGACAGTGGGAGGAAATCACAGTGGCTCTGCTTTCCCTCCACTGTCTACACAAGGAAAGCACCTTGGGGTTTGTTTTCTTTCAACTGAGTACCTGACAGCTCACGAATTAAGTTACCTGTTGGCCAGCTGCTGCTCAAAGTCTCCACACTGACGAAGGAGCTCACCACAAGTAGTAATTATCCTGGGAACCAACAAGACAAAAACACAGGCTCTGAGATTTGAGGCAGATAATGTCAGACCCCCCCCAGACAACCCATCTCAGCCACGTGTCAAGTAACTGTAAAATCCAATAGCCAAACCACAGCCCACAGGGGGACACATCTGTCAAGAGCTAATGTGGCTGTGAACTCTGCAGCCACTTGATAACGCACTGACTGTTTTTGTCCAACAGCCTCATCCACCAGTGACTTCTTGTCATCATGGCCAAGGCCAGCTCAGCGTCACCAGGAAAAGCTCTACGAGCTGGTGCTGTTTCAAGGGACACAACATGCAGTGTTGCTGCAGACGGGGTGGGAAGCCTCACAGCAGCTCTGTGCCAGCAGCAGCCCAACAGCCACCAGCGCTGCTGCTCCCAGCAGCACCGCAGCTGAGCGGGCACAGCCCTGCACTCTGCACTGAGAGCCTGCCTGAACTGACCCCAAGTAATTCCCCTCCAACTTGGATACAAAAATCAGTTCTGAGCAAGGCAAAAAAAGTCCCCTTTACCGGACAGAGTTCTGGAATGCAGTCCAGTCCTCCTGGAAGAGGGACTCTGATAGGACATCATCCAGTTTACATTTCTTCCGTATGGACTGCAAGGCATTTGTGAAGTCAGATGTATACCTGTAATGAGAAACGGAGAGGAGGCAAGCACCAGCTTAAGAGAATGGGCTGGAGAGCAGCACAACAGCATGAACTGTGATTTGCTCCTTGAGTCCTCTGCAAGGGCCAAACAGGAACCAGAAACATGAAAAGGAGTTCAGGAGAGACACTGTTGTTCCAGTCCAAACACACGGATGAGAAGAAGTGATCAGCCCCAGCCCACTTGAGCCTACTCCAGGAGAAAGGGAGAAACTCAGAGTTACTGAGTGTGGCTACTGCAATCTGCTGCACAGGGGTTACGAGGAACTCTCCCCTCCCATCAGAAGGTACGAGTAAGGCATTTCTGTTACCACTGCACTAATCACATCTCCTAGGAAAGACCAGAAAAAGTTTATAAGGCTACTGCTGCTCCATCACTTGGCCCTTACACCAGGAACACAGTGACAACAATCTCATGAATTTGTTTTCTCAGCTACTCCCCAGATGAGAACATGGATAAAAAGCAGAACATTTTGTTTTCCACACCCCCCCATTTTTTTTTAAATAGTGCCCATAAGCTAGAGGCATGCACGCTGCTATGTAATTGCCTATAAAGAAGGTGAGATCAGAGAAGTGTGCTTTCCTCTTCCCTCTTCCTCACAGGGCAGCGAGGTAACAGTTTGATTTACACCCTGTGAGCAGCTCTTTCGATATGAGGAAAGAAGGAGGAGGCAATCAGAACTGCAGTGATCTAAGCAGGCTGTCACCGATACTCCAAGACAAGAACTTGCAGTGAAACTCACTCACCAGGGTATCTCACACTTACAGACAGATTCTGAATGGCCCAGTTCATATACAATCCCTGAGTTCTACTTTCATCACCCAAATTTGTCTTACTGCTCTGGGAGACATTCTTCTCTCCAAAAGTATTTATTAAAAATGAAAACTCAGCCCAAACAGAATAGAAAACGGCTGAGAAGTCTTCCCTTTAGCCATAAAAAGCTTTTATTTCTCCCCTAAGAAGCAGTCACTGCCTGGCAGGAGGGGCTATCAGATGAGTCGTATTATGGCTGCAGACACGTTCTGCTCTCAGGCATTTTTCATAAACTACAAAGTCCCTGGCCACAAACCCAGTCCTCGCTGCTCCCTTGGGATAAACGCAGCAGTGTCACTGAAAGCACCTTACTTTGTGAACAGGGCCTTCAGCGCCTTCAGCAGCCCACACACTCCCAGTCCATCCGTGAGCTTCAGGCAGTTGTCGATGGCTCCCGAAGCCAGCGTGAAGAGTTTGCTGACCGAGTGGTTCAGCTCCTGGACACAGTCAATCACTTCCCAGTGCTCCTAAATAACAACAACAACCACACAGTTGAGTGTCCAGCCATTAATCACACCTTGTGTAACTCCCTGCTCTCTGGCTGGCTGCTTCCACCCCCCTGCACAGCGAATACAGCCAGGCTGCCAAGTCCTATTTCACCACAGCTTCAAGGAAAAACAGTTCTGCCAACAACAGAATCTTCCACAAAAGAGGACTTTCCTCTCCTCAATCTTGCTTTTAATAAATTCTGTTGAGCCTGAAGCAGGTTCCTGGTTGACAGTAATATTTTGGTAAAGTCTTTCTCCAGCAGATCCACACAGTGCTGGTTACTGGGTGAAGGAGAGGAAGAAAGGAGTTACCTCCAACCTGACAGTGCTGCGGAAATTAAGTTTATTTCTTAAACAAAACTCACTTAACAGTATCAAAATATACTGCAAATGGGAAATATTATCAAATAGAGCAATAACTATGCAAATTTTGTTATTGCTCATTAAAGCAATAACTATGGCAAAGACCCTCATGTTCGGTGGACGCTTCAAGCCTGAGCAAAGGCTGCTGCCTTACCAGGGGCACTGCGCTGATCTGAATGAGGAGATTCTCTTCCTCCAGGTCTCCATAATCAAGTTGATAGGGCTTGTAGGGACCATACACCGCTTCCACCAGTTCCATCATCTTTACCAGGTTCTGCTCCTCTGCAAAGAATCAGGTGTTTAGTCTACAAATGATGAATGTGCTCCTAAAAATCCTGTTTCAAGCAACAAGCAGTAGTTCTTCAATCAGAGCACGCTGCCCACACAGGCTTGGAATGCTGCCCAGCAGCTTTGGGTCTCAACTACACACACTTTTTTTAAAAAACAACAAGGTTGTTATCTCTACCTGCTTCCTAAAACCAAGATGTTTTACCTCAACAAGTGCCTGAAGAAAATTATCACTCGCTGCTCCGAAACAGCCTGGGTGACAAAAATCTATTCAACATTCCAAGCTACAGTGGAAGGAAAGCATTGAAACCATTTGAGAAGTGAAACACTTTACTCCCACAGCCTAAAACAGGGGCAATCCCCATTTATCAGAGAGCCCGGTTCGTACTTAAGCTAATTGACACTAACTCAGCTCACCTGGCACTGCTGCTCCAGTGCTCAACAACCAGAGCTGACCACAAACCACCAACTCAGCACCTCAGGGCCACTCTGCTGAGCAGGGGGCTGCAAAAACCAGACAAAAACCAGGTCTGAAGGATTACTTCTCAAACCAGAACTGGACACCAGGTGTCATTGTCAAGTTTTGCCAAACTCAAGCTAGCAGCAAACCAGAACCACTTTGAATCCTGGATAAAAGACAATGCTTTTACACACTAAGAAATGGAGCGGGTTGTGCAAAGCCTGAGCTGTCTCCATGCTTTCAAGCTCAGACTGGACAAAGCCCTGGGCTGATCCCATGGATCCCATTGGAGCAGGAGGTTGGCGTGGATCATCTTCCGAGGTCCCTTCCAACCTGAATTATCCCGTGAATCACAACCGAACCCTCCCCTCACACACAGACATAGGAACTGGTTTGACCCTGCTCTGCTGAGTCACCCGGCCCTTCCATTCCGGAAATATTTCTCTTCCCAAGCATCTCACTCCAGCAAAAGAGATGGAAATAAAGAATTTATTCTATAACACACTCAGGTTATAAAAGGTTCAG